GTTGGGTTAGGCCAGAATTGTCCTAGGTATAGTAGGAATAGGTGCAGAATTGAATGACTTCACGGTTCTCGTCTTAATCTTCACATTTTCAGTGGTTTGAAGAATTATGAACATGGATCGAAGTGAGGAGCTATTACAAGATACGGGGCATCCTAGGGAACAGGAAACATCGGTGGAAATGAAAACTGCTCACGTACTCTGTATTCTCTCCTCCCCTGCGTAAGGCTTAGCCCAGCTTTTGACGAAAGAGAGACGTTTTACGGACGATTTAAACGTGTATTGCGATGGTGCCCAAAGTGAATTTTTTGCTCGGCAGATCATTCACCACATAAAGAAATTACTGGTTTATACAAGCATGCAAAAGCTCTCACTGCAAAGATAACTTTTTTAACAATCTTTATTAAACAAACTCAAATGACGCACATATTTTAAAAAATTAAGCGTTGTCATTTTCGCAGTAAATCTTAACTCAAAAAAAAAACAGTGCAACTTCTAGACGAGGATCATTTTCCTATTGAATTCCAGAACCAATCTTGCCATAGCCAATCTTGAGCCGAAAAACGCAATCAGTCCAAAAACTATCGAAATTGGCAGGGCTGGCAGGGCTCGTTGCAAGCTGCAATGATTGTGCAATGTCGAAGAGAATGTTGAAAACGGCTGTAGGAACTCACATCACTAGGAGGACCAAAGTGAATCCAAGTCCTGTCAAAATTGACACATAGCAGGCTAAGGTCGTCGCCCAGTCACCGGTAGCTGAAGCGGTTCCGACTAGCATGGAGTAGAAAATGAAGTCTCCCAAGCCAAGTCGAATTCTTCCTTGAAAATTGATAGTAGGCATCATTTATTTGTAATTAGTGCCCTGATAACGAATATAACATTCAGTTTTGGCACGAGCGCAATTTACACCAGTTTGGAAACACCTGTTTTCACCAAACTCGCTGTAACTTAAGGGGTATTGAGTCCAGTGATCGAAGATATGACTTCCATTTTGGTTCTAGCGCCGTTTGGCCCCATTTTGGCGCAAGTGGGAACAATATTATGCCAAGGGGCGCCAAAAATGGATGATATGCTCCACTCACCAGCACTAAAATACCACTAAGGAAGAGATCAAGCCGAACAAATTTGACCCAATTTTAAGTTCCACTACTGAAGGCGCTTGGGGTTAATATATGATATGAAAAGAACTCAATAACAGGTTATGCAGCATTGGCCCACCCAACACCACTGACGCAGCCCCGAAAGAAGGCTATTCCGCTTCGATGCTACTAGAGAGACTTTATTTTCGTTCTTATCGCCGCCTCTTCTCCTTTTTCATCACTGACGTTACAGTTCACATCTCCACTGTCATTTACAGACGTAATAACACATCAGTTTAATCCCAGACTTTGCCTTCAAGTCCGCAATCACGACAGGTCATGCCGCGGAAAACAGCGTGTTACTCTGAAAATGGAAAATTTCACAGTAAACAATCTTCCCATCGAACAAATGTATCGGGTTTGGTAACTGTTTTACTTGGAGTTGGGCGGTCTCTTCGACCCTGGTACCCCTGGGTATTGGGTACACTTTGTATAATATGAGTGTGGATAGCATGCTAAAAGTTTGCAAAACTGGAAAAAAACAGATGGAAAAACTCACGGCCTTCTTCTTCGGAGGTTGAAATGCTTAAGTGCAACGATTCTTGAGCTGCACCTGGTGACGATGGTTTTTTGGACTGCTTGTCCGCCTTCTCCTCTTCTTTTTCTTCCGGCGGAGTACTGAAATTTCAAAGTGGTATCAAAATGTAGTCCTAAAGTTGTTGTAAATTAGGAACTGTTCATCCACAGCTTGTGTACTGACATTTGCGACACGCAGAAAGTCTAAGGAAACTTGCCCCATATCACGGGATAGGCAAAGATTTCGGCGACAATCAACTCCTGTTCGGTATGCGCTATTCATTCTACCACCACCCAGGGTCGTAGGGGCACTTTGAGCGCGATTTGCCCTCACAATGGTTGGCAAGGGCCTTCCTGTTTTATCTCCCTAGACAATTCTGCACGGACGTAGGTGAAGGCGTGTCATTGTCATTATACCAATTCCACTCGTTTGACGATCCCCTCTTGAAGGGATTTCGACCTGACCGGGCTCCATGGAAAAGCTCGCCGGCGGAGAGCACGCGCACGCGTGTTGATGATGTCACTGTGGCGGCCAGCGAACGAGCAATGGTCAGCTTTACTACTGATACATGATCCGTGCATTGATCGTGCTCTTTTCCACTGTGATAAGTAGAAGTAAGTAGAGATCGAGCAAGAAGAACGAGCTTGTTACAGTCAGCTCCACCTTGACTGTGAAGCCCTAAGTGCTCACATATAAGAGTGTTGCCTACTACGTTTCCAGGAAAAGTCAGTTCCTTGTACCTGTACGTAATATAATCATTCACTAGCGGCACAACTGATTGAACAAGTTGGTATGTCAGGAACCGATTAGAAGTTGAGCAAAGTGGAAGCGTCGCTGGCCACTGCTCGCTCTTCCTTCGAGCATGCCGCAGCTGTGACATCACTTTTACGGTTACAACCGCGCTCGTCCACGCCCAAGGTGAGCTTTTCTCTCCCCCCTCCACCCGACCCTACCCCCCTGAAAGTCTTTTTAGGATTGTCCCTCGATACTTCAATAATATAGTTTTGTATAGCATTACACAAACTTCTTTTTCAAGTGCTTGCCAAATTTTACAAAAAAAAAACGTCGAAGCAGACCCTATCTCCTGCAACCATAACCCCTTTAACTTGCAAAAATGCGACCTCCTCTCCCAATCCTTCAACCCTCACAACCCCAAATACGCCCACCACATCCCCCTCTCAAAGAAAAAACTCAACTACGATCCTAACCCTCGTAGGAAACTGCGCTACGCACTGTTGACCCTGCGGATTTCTCCGTTTCCCCAAGCTATTCTGCGAAGGCTTCATAACCAGGATTTCAGGGGAAGCTATGAAGCTACACATGAAGTGACGTTGCATTGAAACAAATGGAGACATTGCTGAACGTTGCATAGCCTAGACATATCGACAAGAGCAGAGCAAACCCTCCGGAATTGCTGCAGAAAATCAGCATGTTTTTTTTGGTTCTGCTTCAAGAAAATTGGCGTCAGTGTAATGGTCAAAAAGACGGATACTATCTTCTACCTTGCCTTTTCCTCAGATTGTTTCTTGCCTTCTTCTTCGTCTTCTGATGCTTGCGAGAAGTACATGGATCCCGCTGAAATAATGAGCTAATTCGCTCGAGTTTCTAGAAGATTTTTTATAGTGGTACTTTGGTAAATGGACTCATGAGAACGTGACATCTGTTGTAGTGTACAGCCCAACACGAGCACTTGCTGCGCGTCGCTTTGGTAATATTTTACCAGTATTCTGTCCCCGGTTCAAATCCAGGCTGGACACTAAGAGGCACGAGCTTATTGTTAGTTGGAAGAAAGGATCTAAGCTACGTATGTGAACGGGAATCTCATGTCGCATCTCATCCAAAGAAGACCACGGATGACATGCAGCCTTCAGCCTTCTATCCCAAAGTAGCGTCCCGAATCACCACATGTGGGCGCCCTTATGTACCGCGCGTAGTGAATTTTTTCCGAATATGAAGGCTCATCCGTCAAAGGATGCGGAGTGAAGCTCCGCGTGTGCTGACGCTCTTCACGGAACGCTCTGCACAGCACAGAACCGAACAGGACTACGCTTATGTTATTATGTAGCCAAAATTGAATTCCTACGAAATAGATATCACTGGTTTTTGACCAACCTCAATAATTTCTCTTGCGCAAGTCAACATGGGGCACCTGACAGGAGGCCC